GAATATCATCTTAGACGATAAGAAAGCGGGGTTTAATTGTCCTTTGGATTTTAACTAAGAAAAAAATAATAAATTATGATATAATTGCAGCACAAGAAAACAATATTTTATCATATCATATTACAATTATATCTTTTAGCGTTTCAATACATCATAAAACTCTCCACAAAGACGAATATTTTTAATAATATTTTAAATCAGTGTTTTCATCTTTGTGATCCATTTTTGGTGTCAAAAAATTTCAGGCCCACATAAACACAAATAGATATTCCATGTAGCAGGAAATGAATTTTATTTACAAAAGCAAAATGTAGTAAAAAATATAAATCCTGACTAATGACTGCACTGCTGCTAGTGTCTGTCTATCAACTTTTCAAGCTGAACTTCCAAGCTTCAAGCGTAAGTCTCTTCACTTTTCAATCAGCAATACATTTTCCTTGGGTCAACTCCAGGCCCATTTAAAAAATGTCTCAGGCCCACTTGTGCGCCTAAGTGCCTACGTAGAGAATCACTATTTTCAATGTTTCCCCGAGAAGTTTTAAAATTATAAATGACCCCACAAGACGAAATGTTTTAATAAGTTATTGCACCGAACTGCAAAAAGATAAAGGGAAGCAAAGAACTGAAGATGTTCGTTAGACATAAAACTCTTTTATTGATGCAAATGTGTTAATCACAACCGTTCAACATTGAGATCACCAAAACCTATCGTTGGCAATATTCGACACTGACAGGCTGCCGGTGTTGAATGTTGCCAGATGATTTAGTACATATCTAATTAATGCATATTACACTACAAATTATTTGTTCAGTGTTCTGTGATGTTGTGGCATCCATGTCAGTACACAATTCGTCATACAGTAGATACGCCGCTGGTCTGATATTGCCAACGACTTAGCCATTAAACTATGAAGGCTTCTCGTCAGCTGAGATTGAAATCTTGTCATCCAACTACTCTGATCCGATTTACAAGACAGAGTCCAAAAGCGTTTAAGCTCAAATCTTATTGGAAGCTATGAATTTATTCCGTAATAGTGCTGCTTATTTCAACGATCGTAAAATGTAAAAACGACCCAAGTGTTGCGCAGAAAAGCAATGATAATACAATAAGAAATAAACACGTCCAAACTTGATCAATGAAACACTTCATTTCAGAAAGTCAGAAAATTTCTGCATTTATAAGTCGATTATGATTCCCATTACTAAAATAATGACGGGCTCCCAAGGCTAAGGAACGCAAGTTTAAATATCTTGGGAGGCTATGTTGTTATTTCTCAATCACACGGCTTAGGTAAAGGATGCTGTATGTAAAAAGTGACGCAAACTTGGGGAAAAAAATGAAAAAGACATAAGATGAAAGAAATACTAGTCAAAAATGAATAATAATTGCCAATGCTTCATCAAAGAAATTCAGTCAACTTAAGACTATTACGTCTATTACTATTAAGTGTAAAGTAATAGAAATAAGATGAAAGAAATACTAGTCAAAAATGAATGATAATTGCCAATGCTTCATCTAAGACATTCAGTCAACTTAAGACTATTACGTCTATTACTATAAAGTGTAAAGCAATAGAAATAAGATGAATGAAATACTAGTCAAAAATGAATAATAATTGCCAATGCTTCATCTAAGAAATTCAGACAACTTAAGACTATTACGTCTATTACTATTAAGTGTAAAGTAATAGAAATAAGATGAAAAAAATACTAGTCAAAAATGAATGATAATTGCCAATGCTTCATCTAAGACATTGAGTCAACTTAAGACTATTACGTCTATTACTATTAAGTGTAAAGCAATAGAAATAAGATGAATGAAATACTAGTCAAAAATGAATAATAATTGCCAATGCTTCATCAAAGAAATTCAGACAACTTAAGACTATTACGTCTATTACTATTAAGTGTAAAGTAATAGAAATAAGATGAAAGAAATACTAGTCAAAAATGAATGATAATTGCCAATGCTTCATCTAAGACATTCAGTCAACTTAAGACTATTACGTCTATTACTATAAAAGTGTAAAAAGCAATAGAAATAAGATGAATGAAATACTAGTCAAAAAATGAATAATAATTGCCAATGCTTCATCTAAGAAATTCAGACAACTTAAGACTATTACGTCTATTACTATTAAGTGTAAAGTAATAGAAATAAGATGAAAAAAATACTAGTCAAAAATGAATGATAATTGCCAATGCTTCATCTAAGACATTCAGTCAACTTAAGACTATTACGTCTATTACTATTAAGTGTAAAGCAATAGAAATAAGATGAATGAAATACTAGTCAAAAATGAATAATAATTGCCAATGCTTCATCAAAGAAATTCAGACAACTTAAGACTATTACGTCTATTACTATTATAAGTGTAAAGTAATAGAAATAAGATGAAAGAAATACTAGTCAAAAATGAATGATAATTGCCAATGCTTCATCTAAGACATTCAGTCAACTTAAGACTATTACGTCTATTACTATTAAGTGTAAAGCAATAGAAATAAGATGAATGAAATACTAGTCAAAATGAATAATAATTGCCAATGCTTCATCAAAAGAAATTCAGACAACTTAAGACTATTACGTCTATTACAATTAATGTAAAAGTAATAGAAATAAGATGAAAGAAATACTAGTCAAAAATGAATGATAATTGCCAATGCTTCATCTAAGACATTCAGTCAACTTAAGACTATTACGTCTATTACTATTAAGTTAAAAAGCAATAGAAATAAGATGAAAGAAATACTAGTCAAAATGAATAATAATTGCCAATGCTTCATCAAAGAAATTCAGACAACTTAAGACTATTACGTCTATTACTATTAATGTAAAGTAATAGAAATAAGATGAAAGAAATACTAGTCAAAAAAATGAATGATAATTGCCAATGCTTCATCAAAGAAATTCAGACAACTTAAGACTATTACGTCTATTACTATTAAGTGTAAAAAAGAAAATAAATGAAAGAAATAAGTCAAAAATGAAAGAAATACTAGTCAAAAAAATAATAATTGATGAAAAGAAATACTTCATCTAAGAAATTCAGACAACTTAAGACTATTACGTCTATTACTATTAAGTGTAAAGCAATAGAAATAAGATGAAAGAAATACTAGTCAAAAAGGAATCACAATTGCCAATGCTTCATCTAAGAAATTAAGACAACTTAAGACTATTACGTCTATTACTATTAAGTGTAAAGCAATAGAAATAAGATGAAAGAAATACTAGTCAAAAATGAATAATAATTGCCAATGCTTCATCTAAGAAATTCAGACAACTTAAGACTATTACGTCTATTACTATTAAGTGTAAAGCAATAGAAATAAGATGAAAGAAATACTAGTCAAAAAGGAATCACAATTGCCAATGCTTCATCTAAGAAATTAAGACAACTTAAGACTATTACGTCTATTACTATTAATAAGATGTGTAAAGCAATAGAAATAAAGATGAAAGAAATACTAGTAAGAAAAAGGAATAACAATTGCCAATGCTTCATCTAAGAAATTCAGACAACTTAAGACTATTACGTCTATTACTATTAGCAATAGAAATAAGATGGAAAGAAAAAGCAATATAAAATAAGATGAAAGAAATACTAGTAAAAAAATGAATCATGAAAGAAATAATGCTTCATCTAAGAAATTCAAACAAATTAAGACTATTACGTCTATTACTATTAAGTGTAAAGCAATAGAAATAAGATGAAAGAAATACTAGTAAAAAAGGAATCACAATTGCCAATGCTTCATCTAAGAAATTAAGACAACTTAAGACTATTACGTCTATTACTATTAAGTGTAAAGCAATAGAAATAAGATGAAAGAAATACTAGTCAAAAAGGAATCACAATTGCCAATGCTTCATCAATAAAAGAAATTAAGACAACTTAAGACTATTACGTCTATTACTATGTAAAAAGCAATAGAAATAAGATGAAAGAAATACTAGTCAAAAAGGAATCACAATTCGCCAATGCTTCATCTAAGAAATTAAGACAACTTAAGACTATTACGTCTATTACTATTAAGTGTAAAAAATAGAAAATAAGATGAAAGAAATACTAGTAAAAAGGAATCACAATTGCCAATGCTTCATCAAAGAAATTAAGACAACTTAAGACTATTACGTCTATTACTATTAAGTGTAAAGCAATAGAAATAAGATGAAAGAAATACTAGTCAAAAATGAATAATAATTGCCAATGCTTCATCTAAGAAATTCAGACAACTTAAGACTATTACGTCTATTACTATTAAGTGTAAAGCAATAGAAATAAGATGAATAAAATACTAGTCAAAAATGAATAATAATTGCCAATGCTTCATCTAAGAAATTCAGACAACTTAAGACTATTACGTCTATTACTATTAAGTGTAAAGCAATAGAAATAAGATGAATAAAATACTAGTCAAAAATGAATAATAATTGCCAATGCTTCATCTAAGAAATTCAGACAACTTAAGACTATTACGTCTATTACTATTAAGTGTAAAGCAATAGAAATAAGATGAAAGAAACACTAGTCAAAAATTAATTTCTATTAAATGTAAAGAAATGCTTGTCAAAAAATAATAATATCGACAATTCCTTTTTTTTTAATACAACGAAATATTCTTAATTGTTTTCCCATGACAAAAGAAATTCAAACTTTCTTTTTCAATGCATTTTGATGAGAATTTAATCAATTAATCGATACTTTTAATGCGGATTAAATTTTCTGGACACTTTTGCCCATTTAATCCTTGCTATGACACAAAGCATTCGATCTGATTTGTCGGTGATCGATACAGGCGTATTATAGAATTATTTCTTCTGTATATATATATTTCCTCATTTTATATATATATATATATATATATATATATATATATATATATATATATATATATATATATATAAGAGTGTGTGTTTGCATGTTGTATATTTGTGTGATATGAACAGCTGCGTTTCACGACACGCTCCGCCATTTTATTATGTTGTTCTATATCTACTTCTTTGTTTTGGTTAAGACTGTCCTTAGATTAGATGGAATGTTGCCGTACTTGTGTTTCTTAAAAAATAAGAAGTGATAGATAGATAGATAGATAGATAGATAGATAGATAGATAGATAGATAGATAGATAGATAATGAAGAGGTCATAGATAATGAAGAGATGATAGATAATGAAGAGGTTAATGAAGAAATGATAGATAGATAGATAGATAGATAGATAGATAATGAAGAGGTCATAGATAATGAAGAGATGATAGATAATGAAGAGGTTAATGAAGAAATGATTGATAGATAGATAGATAGATAGATAGATAGATAGATAGATAGATAGATAGGCAATGAAAAGATGATAGATAGATAGATAGATAGATAGATAGATAGATAGATAGATAGGCAATGAAAAGATGATAGATAGATAGGCAATGAAAAGATGATAGATAGATAGATAGATAGATAGATAGGCAATGAAAAGATGATAGATAGATAGATAGATAGGCAATGAAAAGATGATAGATAGATAGATAGATAGATAGATAGATAGATAGATAGGCAATGAAAAGATGATAGATAGATAGATAGATAGATAGATAGATAGATAGATAGGCAATGAAAAGATGATAGATAGATAGATAGATAGATAGGCAATGAAAAGATGATAGATAGATAGATAGATAGATAGATAGATAGATAGATAACGTTATTAAAATAAAAAAAGAGAGCAATAAAGAATTTATACAGAAAATATTCTGAAAATATTTCAGTGCTTCTGCAATTTCTTTTAAATTCACTTAGATTTTATATCCAAACATTTCTCTTTCTACCAATATTATTTCATGGAATTAATACACACGACTGTAAAATTGAATTGAATATAACTTGGACGTTTTAATGTTCTAACGTTATTACATTAAACGTTTATATAGGCAGTTCTTGTGGCCTTGTTCCATATATTTTGTTCGTTTCATCATGTAAAATTTATCACGCTTGTATAACATATTTAGAAACGCTGCACAGTAAAATTAAGATTATTATACTTTCAAAGGATTCGTTTCTGACACAGATGCTCGAATGGAAGCAATACCCGTAATCTAGTTATGTGACTTAAGTACACGTAAGTTTGACGTGGTTTTGACTAGGAAGCAATATATAAAGCAAACTGTTCTAGTAACAAAATATATAAGTCAGAGTCGGCTTGCTGAAATATCTACGCTCGCAAGATATGGGGATTTACATCAACTGCGTTGTTGGATTTGGTCAGATAAGACACATAAGTTTTATACCTTATAAATTGTTTAACTCATACGATTTCTTCGATCTTACTCGATCTCGCTTTCTCTCCCTCTCGTCCGAATGAATAAAATTAGAATAATTCCTACTTTACACCTAACAACAAGATTCTGAACAAGGTTTCCACAAGTTTTCTTTATACTGCACTAGTTTTGCAGATCAATTTTTATACGAAATTTCACCCAGTAGAAGGCTCGAATGCCCCTCAAGTTACAGAGCTACAGTCGAAATGGCTGAGGTGTGTGAAGTAAACGCAAGAGAAATTAAAAATTAAGAATATAAGGAGGATAGAAAAAGATTAATCCTTGACTTGTAGAGGAAACATCTACACGGTTGTCTTTTTAATAAAGCGGCAATTCTTGGAAAAAACACGAGCAGAAATTGTAATCTTAGTTTATTTTTTATTATACTTACTGAAGTGGTACAAGAAACCAAACATATTTTTTGCTTCTTTAGCAAAGGATTGTATGTACGAGTTCCGCTTGGGGTATGTGGCTGTTTTGGATTTTAACATCCAGAAAATGAAGCCAACAAATCATGCATCGCCGTTGTTGACAAAGAAACGGGTTTGCCTATCGTTCGGTTCACACTCCTTACCCTAAACTCTGAAATTTTACTTATTATTTTTTCCTCAACAGTTGTAGATACGTTCACCTGCCACCCGGTTCACATTCCTTCATAGTCTTTTGATCAGGAGTAGAGGTTTATCCTTTGTTTCCTGTTTACGGTTGGGTTTCCGATTCCTTCTCATGTCTGTTCATTTATCGTGTTTCCCCAATCACGATAATCTTTACCTCTTCAAGCCTAGAGTTAACCGTTATCTTTCATCCCTAAATAATATCGCAGAAATGCATTTTTAACACAGACGTAGGTGTTTTGATTAGGTATTGACAGAGTGACAAGTTTATCTATTTATTTATTTTTTTACGGGGGACATATCTGTAAAAAGTACATGAGGAATATAACGTGAGCGCATTTTTGAAGAATATCTAACTACCCAGTAACCCTTAAAATTTTTGAAAATATTTTCCGTAATCTAAGGTTTTATCATATTTTAGTAAATTTCAAATATACTATCGTTACTGCTCTTATTTTCTGATAATATTACTTTTTCACTTCTTGACCTATCTTATGCTCATACAAATACCGCCCTCACTATACGAAGGGCTTTAACTCTGTAAAATATGTGACCGTAGGTTTCTGCTGTCTTTTTTTGTTTTTGTTTTGTTTTTTGTTTTTTTGTTGTTCTTCTTAAAAAAAAAAAAAAAACAACTCAGTGGTGCCATTTCTAACTTTAGGTCTCTAGTTGCGACCCAAAAAGAAATGAGTATACACCAGAAATCAAAGAAAATAAAATAAATAATAATATAATACAAAATATAATAATAATAATAATAATAATAATTAGTTACGGAGATAGGACCTCTAACAATTTTATGGGACTACACATTACAATCATACAGAACAATCAAAGCTAATCGTGCAGACTTCGTGATTAAAGACCGCAAAGACAAAATGTCCTCCCTTATACCCTTCAAATAAGTAGACCTCGATAATTGTTTAGAAAGAAAAGAAGATAATACTATTTCAGAAAGTTGTCTAGTTCAGTATTAAATATATATCACGATATCAGTATTAAATATATATCATGATATCAGTATTAAATATATATCACGATATCAGTATTAAACATATATCATGATATCAGTATTAAATATATATGACAGTCCCTGCAGACTGCAATGTATCTCTTAAGATCTTCAAAAAGCTATCAAAATACAAGGACCTTGAAAACGAAATTTCAAAAATGTGGCATATGGGAACATCAACTATTCCAATTGTATCTGGAGCCCTCGGATTTATTGGAAAATGTTCCGACAGAATCATTGAAGGGATTCCTTGCAGTCTATGCCTTAAAGAAATTGTTCTCCGCCCACAACTTACGAATGTAAAATATGTGTGATTATTTTTTTTTTTCCAAATTGTTAAGTGGAATATGTCATGATGCCATTTCTGACCTTAGGTCTCTGGTCGGAACCCGGAAAGAAATGCGTACACACCAGAAATCAAAGGAAATAATAATAATAATAATAATAATAATAATAATAATTGTAATTCGTCGTATTACTGTTTTCATCAGAGCGCTCTGAGTCAATACATTCTTCGTTATAACTATTATTTTATTTAGTTATACGCCATCTTATTTTTGTTGTTTTTCCATCACAGAAATCTGCACTGGCAAAGTTTGAATCCTGGAGCAAGCAGCTAAAAAATCGAAAAGCTGCTTCCGACAATATTTGAACGAAAATCCTAATAAGATAAATTAAAACTGGTAATAAAATAACAGCAGTGCAAATGTTTTGTGCAAAAAAGTTCCACAAATTATTCAACTGCCACGAGCGAAGAAAAAACAATGATGACGTCATTGATCAGGAAGGAAGATGTGGCAAAGTCACTACCAAATTGTTCTCCGCTCTTTCGTTACAACATCCTTTGCTAAAGCGGTTATGATGATATGAGAGACGGGCTTTCGATGTGTAGGGCGCGAGAGATCAAATCACGCTGGAAGCTACTTCTTTCGTTGCGAAAATTTTATCGTTGTTTGATCCCACGGTCGTAGAGTGCATCGTTCCCGGAATGCTGTACTAAAAAAATCAACAGGAAGATCGAATGAAATAAAAAATATTATCATTACTTTAAATAATTTGTTTTTTCAATTTGCGTTTATTTATGCTAATTACTATAGAATGGGTCTTATTTTTTTATATAGCGTATATAAATGTATCTATTAAAGATTTCAATAGATTTATCTTTACCTTGATAAGCGGTTTATCTGCGAACCTTGAAGACGTGTAGAATAAGACTTTTGACTTTTATTTCTCGCTCCCCCCCCCTCTCTCTCTCTATATATATATATATATATATATATATATATATATATATATATATATATATATATATATATATATATATATATATATATATATATATATATATATATATATATTTATATTTGAATTACATAAAAATGAAACAATTGTGCCCCATTTTATGGACATTTATCAAACGTTTTAGTATTGCTCCAGGAATTTAACACGAAAAGCGATATACCCATAAAGATGGGGTACAATTGAGTTTCATTTTCTATGCTCTATAATAAATATATTGAGCTCTTTGTGGATCAGTTTTAATATTTTATATTAATTTTTATATTAATAGGATTCAATTGGATTACTTATCAAGGATTCTACATATATTTATATATCTCTAAATTCTGTTTTTATTTCCGGGTTGGTTTTTTTTCTGTTTTTTTTTTGAATTTTAGGTCTGATGAATTGGATCGTATTTACGATTCCAATGGAATAAATTATGACTTATGGAATATTAGTGTTTAAGCCTTTTTATTATATCCTTACTCTGTCCTAGACATTGAGTTCTACCTGGATTCTTCCTCTTGGAATTTTTATTCAAAAAATATACATCTATATATATATTTTGCATATGTATGTATATTTACCACTAATATTATCTATCTATCTATCTATCTATCTATCTATCTATCTATCTATATATATATATATATATATATATATATATATATATATATACATACATATATATACATACATATATATATATATATAGCATGATGAAAAATGCCTTAAAATTTATAAAAACACAGTTTTATTGTCATATTATTTATGTTATTTTTAAGAAAAAACACCAAAAGTTTTTTGATTAATAAATTGTATTTTTTAATCCTTTTTAGAACTTTCGAAATTTTAGTTAAATATTTTGTTTTTCTTGCGTCAACGGGTGATATTAGTAATTTTTACCGTTTTTTTTTTTTTTTTTTTTTTTTCTTGCAATGAAAAACTCATTGATTGGGAAATTCTTGAAAACATCAGATCATTGTCGAATTTTAATGAAACTTCCAGGACTTATTCACAAATGAATGAAACTATTTTAGACATGTTTCTTTTTTGATAAAAATATTTTATTAATAATTTTTTTTACATCTGTTACTCCCTACTTATTTAATTTTATGAAATTTCATTTTGTAGAATTTAAATCATCAGTTTATGTTTTTTGTTTTTTTGTTTTTTTGTTTTTTGTTTTTTTGTTTTTTGTCAAAGAGGACGCCCAGTTAAAGAACCGCTAAATAAAAAAAATGAAATAAAATTAAGACATTATTTAAATAGAAAAGCTTTTTAATTGTTTTTATGAACAAGATATATTAGGAAAATATTATCTTCAAAAAATTTTCGATGAATATTGAATTTTTACAAAGGATTGTTTTCATTTTTATTTTAATTATAATAATTAGGCAAGTTGATATTGTTATTAAGTAAAAAATATATTTACTAATCATAAATGGAAAAGCTTACTACAATTTTAAAAGAATTTTGAATTTTTTGTGTGATTTACTGTGTAAGTTCCGCTTGGGGTATGTGGCTGT